TAGATGTCTACGGGTCACAGCAACCACTTACCATCAGGTGGACTGTGTGCTCGTTTGTCACCCAATCCTTTAAAAAAAAACTACATGTCTGAACAAAAAAAAAATTAAGACATAGGAAATCCACCAACACGCTTTGTGACACAAGGATAAACTTTCTTAGAAATGAGAAAAGGCATTAGGGCTAGGGTTGCCACCCGTACTATAAAGTATAATGTGTATCGTACTATATTTCAGTCAATTGTACTTTAAATTATAGAAAAATAATATACTCGTAGTATGAAAAATACTATATTTTATCCCTAATTCAACTGATGCGCTTTTTTATATTTACTGTAATTGGAAGTCTTGTTGATTGTTAAATTAAAAGAAAAATAAAAAAAACAGTTTGCTTCGTTGTTCATCATACGTACGCAAAGCAGTGGAATAAGTTGCCAGCCTCTGTTTTTCCATCCGATTACAATGTAGGTGTTTTCAAGGCAAGAGTGAACAAGCTTTTGCTAAGTCAGTGCACTTCACCATCTTAGGCTACGTCACCACTTACCACCAGGTGGGATTGTAGTTAAACGCTGGCTTAGAATAGTAAAAAAGAGCAAGTATTAATTTAATTAAAGATTTATTGTTAATTTATTTTAATATGAATCCTAACTGCATCGACTCCTATAATTATTTTAAAGTTAAGGTGGTTAGATAATTGATGGCTTAAGCAAAGAGCAATGACAAATATATTTGGAAAAATACATAAAGATTAAAAATAAATGTGTACTTTTTTCTCCTGAATTTTTGAAAAGTACTATATTTTTGCATCTTTTTTGGGAAAAATACTATATTCTTCAAAAAAAGGTAGCAACCCTTATTGGGATGTATAATATAGGCTGCAAATTTAATTTTACAATTACTTTAAATTATTTGTTTAATTTAAAAACACTGATGAATTTCGGATGAATCTGGGTATTAACCTCCGACCCATTACTGTGTAATTTGTCCTAACAAGAAAAGATTGGTGAGGAAAGTTTTAACTTTCTCCCAGTGGTAGTGGACTTAGTGAGTTGAGAGAGTTGGTGGGAAAAAGTGGAATAATTCACCTTACGTAACGTAAATAAAAGAAATTATATAAAGCGAACGTCGGACTTATTTAACCACATGATTGTAAATAAGTCATGCTAACGCATGCATCGCTTTTGACGTGCGGTCGTCCGCACACTTTATCGACATACAATATTGGTTTTGGACGAAATGAAGTGTACGCAGCTCGATGCATCAATGTTTGCGAGACCATCCACCTGTCGCATAGGTTGTTTGTCACAAAGCGGTATACAATACTAATGATTTCTTATATTCACGCAAATATTATACTTTAAATACAACTAATTTTACGGATTTTACCACGTTTAATTTAAAGAAAATTAACTTCCGAAGTTTCGGGCACTTTACAGCACCCATAGTCAGGACGGGACTTAGGTGCCTGACGTCTTGATATCATAGTTAACAAAGGCTACTTTAATACTCCCTCTCAAGGTTTCTAAAGGGCCCGAAACGTTTAAACGCAATAAAATTTGTAAAATTTGTTTTATTTAAAAAGTATACAATATTCCAGTCTGTTTACTAGGCTCTCTCGTTTCTTTCTATGGCTCATATCTCTTCTATTTCTTCTGTTTTGTCCTTCTTTGTTTTAAGTTGGTTACATTACTGCAGCTTACCGTTATGTTACGTGGACGTTGAGTCGTATGGCGCTCTAATATTATATGGGTCTTTATCAGTCCAATGCTAGGTCTAGCTGCTAGGTCTTCCGTATGTAGAGTTTTATTGCCCATAACATGTAGTTAGGGCGTTTATGAAGATTGTATTTCTAGAGTCCATATTTTATTCTAAAATTGCACAGGGTTCTTTCAATATTCGATTACTATTATACTATTTATCACTCACCTACGATTTGCCGACGATATATTCTTTATGGGACCTAAGCACTATGCTCAATGACCTCATTAGTGACTCCCAAGGGATAGCTCTTAAGATGAACATGGACAAAACGAAGGTCATATGTAATGTCGACGTCACACCTATGCCGATGATTGTTGGGAGCAGTAAGCTCGAAGTTGTTGACGAGTATGTTTAACTGGGAGAAGTAGTCAGACTAGGTAAGTCCAACTTCCACTGAGGGGTCAATCGACGGATTCAACTCTGCTGGGTAGCGTTCGGGAGATGGCAATACATGTTCTCGTCAGGCATACCTCAAAATCTCAAAAATAGATTGTACAACCAGTCCGTGTTGAACCATCAGTGATGAACTATGGATTTGAGACGTGGTCCTTCACTACCGGCCGTATGAGAAAGCTCAAAGTCGCTCAGCGAACTATGGAGAGGACATGCTCGAAGTTTCTTTGCGTGATAAACTTAGAAATGAGGACATCCGCAGCAGAATCAGAGTGACCAACTGATTAATAAACTGAAGTGCATAGAGCCGGTTTCATAGCTCGAAGAACCGATAACCGATGGGGAAAAAGTTCTCTAGTGGCAACCTCGTACCGGCAGGTTAAGTGTAAGGCGTCCCCTCACTAGATGGAGTGATGCCCTGATAGAACATGTGGGTAGTCGATGGATGCAGGTGGCTTAGGACCGTGCTTTTTGGCATTACTTGGGGGAGGCCTATGTTCAGCAGTGGACTTGTACTACAGTTTCTTTTTCTTTCATCATCTTAGATTATCACCACAAACCAAGAGGTGGGAATTATTCCACTTTATAGTATGTAGGGGCTATTCTCATCTGGTGGGACGACTATTAAGTCTTCCCACTTGAGAAATGGTCACACTTCACTCATACTATATGACTTGGCTTGCTTCAGTAAATGTTATTTGTTCAGGGTCAGGGGCTTTATCAGTGTAAAATGATGTATACTTTGAAAACAATGAGACTTCATTCCTTTTTTTAAATAACATACAACTATATTTATTAAAAAGGGAATGAACTGTCATTATTTTATATATATATATATATATATATATATATATATATATATATATACTATGGCGCGAAACTATATTATAGTTGTAGCACGAAGCACGGTTCGACTGCGGTAGGACCACGCTCTCACAGTATAATATAGGTATACTATGTTTCGTATGATGAGTGTAGAGAACCGGAGATCCTTTTCACTGCAAACGCGACATAACCGAGATTTAATTATGTAGATGCCGATGGGCCACACAAACACGAGTATATTCATATCGCACAAATAGCATTTCCAAGGTTTAACTAATATCTACTTGTAGTAAATTAAAACGGAATTCTAATTCATGTTCATATTTAGACTACAGAGCGAGAATTAAGGCTCTTTGATATTTTTTATTTTCTTTTGGGGCTATTTTTCAAGAGTTATTCATAGGGTAAAACACAAAATAGACAAATTTAAATGTAGGCACAGTTGTATGAATCAAATAGTTCAATTGTCTCTTTTTTACATTCAGTGAGGTATATTAGTATGCTCTAATGGTAATGTATTTTGTGTAATGTATAATTAAATACAATAAAAGTAAAAAATATAGTTTGAACAATTTTCAATAGATATCACTTGTGGGGGATGATAATATTGCCCGACTGTTAAGTAAGCTGAAGTGGCAATAGCCCGGCCATATAGCTCGAAGAATCCACAAGCGATGGACAAGGAAGGTCGAGCGGCAGACTTGTGTCGGTAACTGAAGTGTAGGGAGGGCGGCCCTTCACTAGTTAAAGTGAAAACCTAATATGCAGAAAGACGATGGACGCAGGTGTTTCAGTACCGTTCTTTGTAGAATTATTGGGGGAGATTTATGTTCAGCAGTGGACCTGTGGGACTGTAATGATGATAATTATCACTTCTGTAAATATGTACATCGATAAGTTTTGTTTCAATTTGCTGAAAGAAACTATAAACCTAATTTATATAAATATTTTTTATAATTTGAAGTTACTCCTTCTTTATATATAATTGGTTTACGTGATTTTTTAACTTGTTTTAAGGTATCTATTGGAAATAACTTGTAAGTAAAATACAACAATCTCCAAGATTTATAGTAAGGTAAACGTGGTTTACTTAATTCTGAGATGAAAATAAATAGAGCATGCATAACAAATATTGCGGAAGAGCTCAACACTTGCCTTTAGGGTGTGGCACAATTCATTTCTCCGAGCGTACAATTTGATATTTCATGAATAGTTTTCGTTTTGTTTTTAAATATTAACCGTTATTTCTTCGTTCATTTTAATCAAGGATGTGGATTCCTATAATCAAAACAACTACTTACCATTAGGAGGACAGAGTGTTTATTTGAAATCCCTATTGTATAAAAAATCGGTATTAATACCGATTTTTTATACGCCATCGGCTTCTGAATTTACAGCAAACACTTAGGTCCTGAGCTATACACGCACGTATTAGGCGGTGAACGAAAACATCACGATTAAACCTCCATGCACGAGAATAAAAATAATTCACAAAATTCGAAAATATATTATAATATATTTCACAAACATTTTGTGGAATCCTTTACCATCGGCGATATTTCCGGTACCGATACGACTTCGGGACGTTTAAGAAAAAAGCTTACTCGTATTAAAAGTTCGGCAACGCATCTGCGATTCCCCTGACGTTACAGTTGTTTATGGGCGACGGTAGTTACTTGCCATCAGGTGAGCCGGCCGCACAGGGTTGGAAAAAAACAGTTTTTTTTAAAAAGAAAAAAACATCATGCTTAAATCAAAAAACAAAAAAAAACAGGTTTTAAATCAATTTTTCATAAATGTTTTATTTGAAATGTTTTAAAACATTTTTTTTAAGACTTTTAAAAAATGAATTGTTTTGTGATTGGGATAAATAAGGGGAAGGTAACGAAGGTAGAAATTAAAAGAAACGATAAAATATGAAAGAAGTTTTTTATTGTAAAACAATACACCAGAACAAAAACAGTACTTATTTCTTCAACAAAAAATGAATAAATAATCAACTCTGTCTGACCTGACAGTGACAATTATTGACATAGACATATGGGGTAGGTAGATCTAGATCCTATCAAATCAATCATATTCATTATGTTTTGTTTGTTATTGATTGAGTAGGTACTTATATTGATTAATGATAATGATAAAACTGTTAATTCCTCGACCTCGTCCTCGTCCACATATGATGAGCCTCTGCTGCCTGGATTCAGCGCCCTCATTACTGTAACCAATTTTGCTGCTTTCTTGGTGCCAAGTCTGTTTCGTAATTTAGAGTGCACCAGCCCAAAAGTCGAAAATAATCTTTCGATTCGGGCACAAGACGCAGTGGCTGTATATACCTGATTTGTGAGATTTATCATTCCCGGATCTATTTTACTTCCCAGCGATCTCCACCACACGGACACATAAGTTCTTTTTAAAAGATCTTCCTTAAACATGTAGTCTTTAAATGGAAAACTCATCGCACGGTACGTGAGGACATCTTTTATTGCCTGCGGATAGCTTAAATCTATGAACTCCATACCCATTGTGTCTTCTTCTTCATCTAGTCCTTCACCTCTATATTTGGGGTCTAATATATGAGCGGCTAAATGTGCGGGTGTCATTGCAGCGTTATATCTTGCTTTCAACTTGTTGGCTTCTTCTAGCAACCAGTTCGACGAGAGTAGGCCCTTCCATATATGTGTACAATCGCTTAGGACACACATTTCCTTCTGTACATAATCAAGAGCAATTGATTTAAGTCTTCTAAGATAGTTCTCAAAATTTTCTTTTAGTTCAACGTCTTGAATATCCCTTACGATTATATTATCTATTACAGAGCTGTGTTCGCTGCATACTTTAGCAAGACAATGCCAATTACTGACATCACTCGAGACAGTCTGCTAATGTATTCCAACACACATCTTTAGGTAGTATAAGCGCCTTTCCACCAGCTTCCCTGTACTTTGCTCCAGAAAAATGATGATACTTGAAGTACTTTATAATTTTTTCTATTTTACTTTAAATGTCCACTTGTGCAATGTCTTCAAATAAATTCAATAAATGAGCAGAGCAACCATATGTGATAATATCGCCTATCTCACTATCTTCCAACACCATCAATTTTCTTCTCATCTTTGCCATATTGGCAGCGTTATCTGTTACAAAGCTACGCACATGGCAACCAAATCTTTGACATTTTTAATGCTGTCGACTGCCAGAGTCAAAAGATAATCAACAAACAAACAAACCAGTGTGACTTTTGTCAGTAGTATCTATTGTATCTATGAGAATAACTTTACCATCATCCTCAGTAGTGGTTACACTAACACACACAATAGGTTCATTGCGTATATTACAAACTCCAACCATCCAGTGCCATACAAACCACTTTTCCTTTCAAATTGTTTTCCATATTTGATTTTACGGTACCATACACTTCGTCTAGCAAATTTCCGCCATTTTTTTTTCTTTTAGGTGGTACATAGCCTGGTCGAGCTAATTGCATCAAACTGAATGTGAACAAAAGAAGTGTCGGAATGCAGTGTTCGTTGCATCAAAGTATCTGGCAACTTGTAAATCTATTTTATGCTTTTCCTGTTCTGATGTTTTCACTACATATTGTGACATCGACATTATTGAGCGACTTGACGACGCTGATGAGTCCTGCCTCGATTTTTTGCTAATAGGCTCAACATTGGTCTGGATTCCATCTGCCTCACTGTCTGTGAAAAAAATAACTGTGTACAATATATATATATATATATATATATATTTACACACAAAAAGTGTAACTAACTAGTTATTTAGGTAAAAAATAAATTTCAGGAAGATTAAATTTGAATAAGGATTTATTTGCACCTGTTTAATAGTACATTTCAAAATAAAGCTAAAAAATGTATAAATAAAAATAGTGAGAGAAATTATAAACGGCCCACATTTATATACAATACTAGTAGGTACCCGCGACTTCGTCTGCGTGGAAAAGCTGGCTCCCCATACAAACTTTCACCCCCCTTTCATTTCACCCCCTTCAAGTATGATTTCTGGCATAATAACTATACTATGTCCTTTCAATTTCACTAAGGGACAGATATACAGAATAACATTGCGTTTGAAATGTATATACTTTAAGTTGGTATAACATACCTACAAAGCAACAAACATTATATAAAAATACAAGTATTTACTTACCATCCTCACTTGAATCATTGTGGATTTGGATTCTTGCTGTCAAAGTCGATGGGCTTGACTTTTTAGCCGCATAATCTGAACAATTTATTAACCCTACCAAGTCTTTCCCGCAATACTTGCACTTCACCCTGAGTGTTTTTGCACCACCCCCTGTTGTAGATGCAGGCAGTTCTGTGAAGTACTGCCAAAGCGAATCCTTTTTTCGTCCTGTAGACATTCTTTCTTTTGGAAGGGCAGGCAGGCAGAATGCAGATCCAGAGTATTCCAGATTGATAATAAATCGAACAAATAAGTACTAAACGAACGAAATTCAATCAAATTATCTATCACTCACTAGTCATTACAGTCTCACTGAATAATCTACAATGACAATAAGAAAAATACCGCAGTAAAATACAAGCGGAGCGAACTATCTTTCATCCCTTTCCCATTTACTCAGAGTAGAAAAATACTTTACTCGTTCGCTTATTGTAGTCTGCTGGGGTAATCCCCGTCAGCCGCCAGCTAGAATTGCCATCACAATTTACAATATACCTTAAAATTATAATGTTGCCAATAAAAAGTTTTAAAAAGTACGAAAAACAAAATAGTTAGGATTAATTATAATGTTGTAAAACTTAACGTTTTTTATATACGTTTTAAACGTGTTTAAAACAAAATGTTTTAAAATGTGTTTTAAACAGGTATGTATTTTATCCAGTGTTTTAAACAGTGTTTTAAACAAACGTTTTAAACATTGCCAACCCTGCGGCCGCATGATCGATTGCCCTCTCTTCTATTAAAAAAAACTTTGTGGCGTGGCATACTAATTGTTCCATAACAATATTACAAGTGAGAATAGATTAGAATAACTTTATTCAATATTGATTTTTTATCTTTTTTAAAAAACGTTACCTCTACACTAGGATTTTCTCCTGTATCGTGGATATGATAAACATCCAGACCCGTAACAATTACTTTTTTTTATAGGAGAGGGGGCAAACGAGCATGCGGCTCACCTGATGTTAGGTGACTACCGCCGTGCAGGGGAATTGCAGGTGCGTTGCCGGCCTTTTAGAAAGGAGTAAGCTCTTTTCTTGAAGGTCCCCAGGTCGTATCGGTCCGGAAAAATCGCTGGTGGTAAACTATTCCACAGAGAGGTTGTACGCGGAAGAAAACTCCTCTTGAAACGTACAGTGGTGGACCGCCAAGCATCCAGATGGTGTTGATGGTATTGGGACGTTTGCTGCGTAGTGCGTTCACGAATTGGCGGCTGGGATTAATCCGAACAATTCCTCAGAGCACTCTCCATGGTATATGCGAAAGAAAATGCAAAGAGATGTAACATCTCTTCGCAGTGCCAGTGAATCGAGCCGATCGGAAAGCACTCGGTCGTCGACGATTCGAGCCGCTCTGCGCTGGATGCGGTCAAGTGGAAGGAGCTGGTACTGGGGAGCCCCAGCCCAGAGATGGGAACAGTATTCCATGTATGGCCGAACCTGCGCCTCGTAAAGTTGCAGGCGGTGTGCCGGCATGAAATACTGTCCCGCTCTGCTGAGCACGCCAAGCTTTTTAGAGGCCAATTTGGCCTTCTCTTCCAAGTGACCACGAAACTGCACGTCACTCGATATGTCGACGCCGAGGATTCCGATACTGGCTGAGGCAACAACGGGAGTGCCTTGAAACTGAGGAGATACGACAAAGGGTTTTTTAGCGGTTAACGCGCAAACGCGTTGTGTCTTCTGGGGGTTAAACTGGACTACATTTTGTCGCCCCCAATCCGAGACTCTGTTCAGCAAAGACTCGACTTCAGACACAAGTTTTTCCCGGTACTCGGAGACGTTTTCCCGAGAAATATTGGCTCGGCCGGTATAAAGAGCATCACCAGTGCTGTCATCTGCCTAGCAATGAATGTTACGGGTTTGCAACATATCATTTGTAGGCCATTCAAATACTTGTACCGCGCGGGATTCGAACCCGCGCCGCGGCCCTTAGCGCCGTAACTCATTGCTAAGCCACTGTGCCATGGAGCCATCAAAAGATTATAAAAATACCTACTGAAAGTCAATTAAACTTAATTTTAGTTGATTAAACTTAATCTCTTTATATGGACTCTAGTGCTTGTGTTAGGATCAACGGGGTCAACTCGGACTGGTTTGACATTCATAAAGGTGTCAGACAGGGCTGTGTGGCTTCCCCGTGGCTATTCAGCCTATTTATGGACAGTTGTTTGCAAAATTTGAAAGTTAAAGAATGCGGATTAAGAATGGGTGAGTTAACCGTCAAATGCCTTTTGTACGCCGATGATCAAGTTATCCTTGCGTCGTCGGCGGCTGAGTTGCAAATGATGGTTAAATTAATGAACAGATCATTAAAAGAAAGGAGTATGAAAGTGAACGCAAGTAAGACGAAGGTTATGGTTTTTGAAAGAGAAGAAAGTAAAACGATTTGTGAAATAAGAATAGAAGGGGAGTTGATCGAGCAAGTAGATGAGTTTGTATATTTGGGCTGCGTATTTAGCAGGGATGGGAGATATGATAAGGATATAGAACGACGAGTGAATGCGGGAAATAGAGTAAATGGGGCCCTGCACTCTATTGTGAAGAGTCAAAATGTGTCAAAAAAGGCACGTATGGCTGTGTTGGTCCCCTCTTTAACGTACCATACGTTGTGTACAGTGAAAGTTGGGTGTGGCAGAAGAAGCACGAGATGAGAATCAACGCAGTAGAAATGCGGTCGTTAAGGAGTATGTTAGGGCTGAATCTGAACGACAGGGTAAGAAATTGTGTAATAAGAGAAGAGTGTGGTTTGCAAGATGATGTTGTGACCAGGATTAAGAAAGGAATGCTTCGGTGGTTTGGTCATGTGGAAAGCGTGAATGAGGAAAGAGTGACAAAGAAAATTTATGTTGCGAAGTGAATGGCAGAGTCGGAAAGGGACGTCCGAGGCGAAAATTTATCGACCAAATTGGCGATTTATTGAAAACGGGCCAAATTACGAGTACCCTTAACCGTCGAGCATGTATGCGTAGGTGTATGGATGTGAAGGAGGCGAGAGAGGTGTGTCAGGATCGTGCCAAATGGAAGTCTGTAGTCTCTGTCTACCCCTCTGGGTGACAGGCGTGAGTGTTTATGTTTATGTTTTATGTTTAAACTTAATCACTGGTTCTGAAAAACTTCTGTTTCAGTAGAAATGGAAGCCTGGGCCTAGCAGAGGGATGAATATTGACTTTAACATAACGTCTTCGAAATACAAAATAGAATCGAACTAAGGCACTTTATTTCGAGTTGTTATCAGTAAAATGATTCCTAAATTTAAAAAAATTCGGTTGCCAAGCGTGGTAACTATGGCTTATATCCCTCTTATAAAGGAAACTATGTTCAGCAGTGAACTTTGATTAGATTTAATGATGATGATGAAGAAAGGCACTTTAATCTTTTCCGTTTCCTCTTGTGAATTGCGTCATGCACTCTGCAAGTCAAATAGAGATGTATGGTTACGCTCTAAGCACTTTTTATGGATATTTTCTTTGGGATTACGTCCCTTAAATACC